TTTTAATTACGCAAATAACTGAATCGATTTTGTGCCATCTGTCAGTTAATCTCCCAGTGACAATATTACAAATTCATTTTGAAGCTTAAATCAGATTTCATAGCTGATAGATACATTGTTTTCGTCGGCTTAAAGGTTAGTTAAATTGATTAAAATTTCCCTTTGCGATTATTGAAAAGCCAACAATCTGCACTTTACTGCTGTTAATAGGTACGATAAACATTTTTGTGAATTTTATATGGTTTAATAGTGTGGTATTTCTTGCTCGGGAGTTTGGCCATATTTGTTACGGCTGCGGCATACACGAGAGAAAGATTAAAGAAATTCACTTTCATTGTTTGCCTGATATCCGTTCGTTTCGTTTGTTAGTCGTCCTCTGGAATATATCCGCCTGACATTGCGTGGGCATGTCTGTCTATTTAGTCCATCTATATCGTCTGTCTTCCCATCGTGCATGTACTTTTAACTTACCTACGTATGTAACACTCAGAAGAGCTTAAGGTAGATCTGTCTTTTATTATTCCGATCGCTCCAGAATTATTTCCTGTCCAATCTGCCTATCTGTCCGCCTGGCTGTCTGCTGTCTATAAAGTTGCGTTCATTATACTGGTCACAATTTTTGAGATATTTTGATTAACATGGTACACCGACGAGTGTTGACAGAAGGACGAACGCTTTTCGAAAAACTTCGGATCGAACCATCGCGCGAAACGGTGTGGGGTGTCCAAGGGTGGGCCGTATAGTGGTTTTACTCCTTTTCTTTTGCAGAAGAATGCAAGGCCTGTTCCGCATAATGTCTAATGGCTATCCGAAGCAAATATCGAGGCTATCGCTCATTGCATTACTTTAAGAAAAATAGTTAACGCGGACTAAAAGACCCTCTACACAAGTATACGCGTACGGTATAATGCTTACAATGCTGTCATATTTTGCAGTTGATTTACTTAAGCGAACATAATTTTTTTGTTTTCACTTTGCACACAGTTGCTATTTTAGTATTTTGCTGGTCTCATTGTTTTAGATGTATTTGTTTTTATTACAATTTAATGTTAAATGGTCTGGCATTTAAGAACCGCTCACGACACTACGCATTTACATATTCATTGCTCTGTTTATTGTTTATAAAATATTAATGTTATTACGGCAACGTTTAATTTGAGGTGTGATATATTATTATTATTATTTTCTGTTTCCCTCTCACATTATGTCTCTCCTTCATTCCTTTCATCCATTTCTCCGGCTTATTACTATTGTTATTATTATTTTTGTGTAACATCACATTATATTTATTTGTATGCCCTAATTAAAATGTCTCGACTATTATGAAAAATTTGTTGTTAGGTTTATGAAAACGTTTATAACAATTAGTTGAATTTCATTTTAATTCATTTACTAAGAAGAGCATAAATTGCTGCTTAGTTGCCAAAATTTGTAGAATAAATAGAATTTATTCATTTATTTTTAAACATATTTTTTAAACATATTAAATCAAGCTGAAATAGTGCTTATGCTATATGCTATCATATGTGATACAATATGCCAACAAAGGGTACATTTGATTTTGTGACCGATACGTGAAAGAGTTACAGAAATTAAGAACACAATTCGTATCCTAGTTCGAAGTTTTGAATGCGGTTGAGCTTTGTTGATACTCACTCTACCACAACCTAATGCATAAAAATTCCAAAGAGTTTTCTTAAAGTGAAGCCTTTTTCATCAGTTTTCAGCGGGCACTGCAAACCCTTAGTAACCTTAGTTTGCTATGCGTACATATAGGCGTACATTATAAAATTAGGCTTATTGTGGGCGTGCTTGCAAATTGATTGCGCTTATTGAATGAAATTTGATTTATAGTCGTCAATATAAGAATGTTAGGTACTTAGGCTTAAACAAGAGACATTAGTTAGTTAGTTAGTGAACAGTTATGCAGATGAACATAGAATCGTACGCCCGTATCAAATGTTGCTTCAAAACAAATCATCTTATATTTTTGCTTTGCACATAAAATAATTAAGGCCGCCAATTGATCCAGCACTTAGTGCACTGAAATAGGAATATTCGATAGTTATATTAATTCGTTCATTTCTTTAAAACCTTGTTGGAGTTTGCCTCTTTAGAGGCTCCGAAAACAAAAAAAAAAACAAAAAAAAACACAATGGAAAAATGAAGTGGACAACAGGGCGGCTGACACTAAAATACTAGAAAGAGAGTACCGTCATTTTATTGCCATTGCTTCAGCGGGTCGAAGGTAATGATGGTACATGGCTCTTTGCACGATTTTAAGGGCTCCTACCTTTTACAGAACCTAATAATGGGCTTCAGTTCCCTGCAATCTGTTGTCGCAGTTTGGACAATTTTAATTGTGTCAACGACCTGAAGAATTTAAGATGGACACATTTTTTATTATACCGATTGTCTGTCTTTCTGATGTTTCTCTACGTCTATTACTGTTCAACCTACAGATCGCAATTTCTGAGTTAATCTTCTGAAGTTTGAAGGTGCTTTGTTTTGGCACGTGGATGATGCCGATCAATAATGGATTTGACGGCCTATCCCCCCCTCCCTCGTTTGTCATATTCAAAATTTCTCGACTAAAATCGCTGATTAATACTATTTCGGCTTAATAAATATATGTGAAAAGTTTGGATCGGATCTTGAACCACGTGTTATATAAAGTTTCTTACGAAAAGTAGATCTTTGTATGACAAAAGGTCCAATTTCTGACATGTTATTACGAAGTGTGCTTTATATTAGTAATTTGAGATAAAATTAATTGCACAAAATTTGGATAGGACTGAGTCCAATTTTGAACTCTTTGTCATATAGGGGTTGTCATCAAAAGTAAGCCTTTATGTGACAATAATATGTAATTTTTAGTCCTCTTCGACGGAAAAAAATGCCAGGAGTAAGTAAGCTTTTAAGAAGAAAAGGAATTACGAGCGCGTCAATATATATTCTGAGCCCCTCTCATAATGGGGCTCTCGTGAAAAGTATGCGTCTACATGGAAATGAAATATAAGCTTTGTTCTTTTATCAGGGGAACGGACGAGCGACATTGCCTAAGGAATTTACTTGAGTTTACTAAGTTGCTTACTTAACTCTAAAGCCCGGCTTGTTGAGTTGCGGAAAGATCTGGGGTGTAATAAAATATTACGTTATAATGCCATAATATTTAAAAGAGATCACTTATGTCGATCAAAAAATATTGTTTACTCTTTATCGTTGCAAGTGTTGCCACAATCGTCCTTATATGAGTGAAAATTATAAAAGTCAGTTAAGATTAAATATTCTACATATTCAAGGCTTTCAAGTGATTTTCAATAAATGCTTAAATGCAATTTTAATAAATAAAAACCGTAAGAGCATATTTTATGTGAATGTGAATATTTTATGGCAAAAAAGAGTTTCTTACTGCAAGGCAACCTGAAAATTTTGCTTGAAAAAAGCAAAAGAAAACATGAATATAATATGACGAAAATGAGAGAAGAAGGGCGAAGGCAAATAGGGGAAAAGGAAAATTGCGAAAATTGCATAAACACCTTGAGGCTGTAGACGGGAATAGTGTAAGATAACGAGTAAAAATTAATAAAATTCATTGAGTATATAAAATAGAAAGAATGAAAGCGCCGACGGACCGAGTTCTTTATACCAATAAAGTTAAAATTCCTTTTTGGCTTATTATTCATTCTTTTGGCAATAATTTCAAAGAGCATGTCTCTAACGTTGAGCAATATATGATGGACAAGATATTAAGAAGATAAAAAGTAAAATAAAATTCTCCTCTTTTGGCCATTGTTTCAGTAGTAGTGAAAGCGGCTATTACAGGTGAAATATTACTAACAACTTTGTTTGACTGGTCGTCCTTTAAGCGTACGGTAAATGTAATGGTTTTTCTTTTCTTTTCATTTTTATTTATTTATTTTTTTTTTGCTTTAGTGTATAAGAACTGCATTTCCCTTTAACATCTTTTTACGTCTTTGTTTTTCTTGCATTTAATGAAAACCAAACAACAGCTGAAATTGTTTAAAAAAGAACAGAGCTTGACATGAGAAAAGGAAAAAATTTCTCTTAATATTTTTCTTTATCTTTTAAATGGTTGTGCTTACGCGGTCGTTGTTTTCGTACTTAATGTTGCTGTTTTTTTTTATTATGTCTCATGCATTCTGCAAAGTTGATGTCGTTTGTGTATGCTTTCAATCTATAGTATGCTTTAAGAATGAGCGACAGCTTTGTGTGTTTGTGTTTTTGTTTACATTGTTACAAGATATATATATGAGAACGAAAGTTACAAAGTCATAAACAGAGAAGGACGCTTCTTCATTATTATTTATTGAAATATAAAATAAAATATAAAATTTTAAAAATTCATAAACAAACCTTACATAGACATAAACCGTCCTATAAAGACATTTAAAAAAGTGAGCGAGCGAAAGGTAGAGATATTAGTTTACAAATAGTTGAGCGAAGGAAATCTAACTTTAAGCAAACAGCAGCGTTTTAGTG